GGTGGGGGGGGAAGCTGCCAGCCCTCGGGCTCATCAAGTGATTTCTGATCCGTGGAGAACGTCAAACATGTTCGACGTGCGTTAGAGAATAGGCACGGAAATATCAGAAAGCTGGAGAAAAGTACCATCATGAGCTGTACAGCCAGCCAGGAAAACAAAACCCCTCTTAAATTTTCTAAACAAAGTATTTCCATGTGTTCTCTTCAATGAGTATAATTTTAAAGCAAAGACATATGCTAACCTCAAAAAAAGATATTTAAGATACTCATAATGAGCGATTGTTGCCGCAGCTGCATTACAATGTGTTTAAAAGACTTAACTTTTTATCAGTGTCCAGTACAAAAGGGAAATTCCCCAAATTTTAACTCATGAATATATGCTCTTTTTGCCTTTCAGCATCTCGGATTTCCCCTCTTTGTGAGAAGGCTTTTTTTTAAAGTCGGTCATTAAAAGAGTTGGAAAAGCTGTGTTTTGGTATCCACACCTCTATTTTAAAAAGTTATTATTAGATGAGCTGACTCTTTGTTGAAAAAGCAGATTACAGGTGCATTTGTGTATGCCATACATTAAAAGTCTGCTTTCTTGAATTTTTCAATATACTTTCCCTTGCTTATTAATACTATGGGAGAATGAAATGTCTCGCTGTGTGTTACAAGGCACGGAGTTTGTCCCCTTCATTAGGGAAGCACTCTGTGGGCAGACATGAAATGTTTACAGCTGTGATGTGAGCACTGGAACACAGAGAACATGAAAATGTAAGAACGTCTCTGCTGGGTCAGACACAGAGTCTGTCCAGCCCCATGCCCCGACTCCAGCTGTGGCCAAAAGTGGGTGCCCAAGGAGAAGTATTAAGACTACAGAGAGCCTTTAATGATACACTCCCTGAATCCTCTCCCAGTCTCCAACTGTCTGGAGGGACTTCCCAAGGCAGAGATAGTGTCTGGTTATTTAATAACCCTTGCTGGTCTCCCCTTGAACTCACGTGAACTTCTTGCATCCATGACATGCCGTGGCAAAGAGTTGCTCAGCGTAACGACGCATTGTGTGGTTTCATCTGAAACTTCACCTTTTATCCGAACCTTCTATCTGCCAGCACCATTTGATGCCGCTTTTGTACTGGAAGAGACCGCAAGCAATCGATCCCTATGCATCCCCTCCACAACACTCATGATTCTTACGACCTCTGTTTCTCCAGGCTGAGGATTCCTACCCTTACAGTCCTTCCATGTGCAAAGCTCTTCCATTCTATAACACTGAAGTTTAATGTCAGATTTTTTTCCCCTTGAGAAAAAGGGGATGGGAAAATGGAAGTAATTATCAAGCATTCATATTGCCAAAAAGTAACCAGAAAATACTTAGGTGTTTGGAGTCAAAGATTCAACATTTGACTTAAACCAAGGGAAGAGTAATAGTTGCTCAATACCATGCACATGATGGAGTGGAAGTCATGCTACTTTCAGGATATAGCTTCCAGAAGTTTTCTCCATCTATGTAGCAATTTTGTCAGTTTCCAAAATGTGGGTTTGTTTCAGAAAAGCGATCATGTATTTTTGGTTTAGTGTTCATCACGTCTGATCAACCACGTGAGAGTTGAAGTCCGTGTTGCAGGATCCTGAGGAAGACTCTTCCCACCGACATGTTGTTAACATAGCAAACAGTAAGTGGGTGAGCTTGGAGATGAAGCTATTCACCAAATGGCTATAGTGCAGGCTGAACCAGTTCAGTCTTCCTCAAATCTACCTTGCCAACACCTCTCCGTCTCCATGGCACGTGGTAGGCTAAGCTAAGCGTTAGTTCCTTCTGACTCCTGTTCTCCTCACGCAGTGTGCTAGTGAAGGGCTGTCAGTGTCATTTGCCACGGTTTTGGGGGTACCAGTTGCTGCACCGTTTGGAGGACTTGCCTTTCTGGCATTCATGGACCCATCAATCTAATAAACACAGACATTAAAAATCCTTGGATTTTTACTATACCACTATTAAGCAGTAGTAGATGTCAAGCAGATCTGCTGGTAGGTGTCAGTAAGCTTTGGTTTGGCTCTCAGGTTTATTGCTGATGAAACCCCCCAGAATTCCTTTTACATACTCAGAAGCAAATACTCATATTCACTGTTATGTCTAAATTCCCTGTTTCAGTAATCTGAAATTTGAAGACTTACAGCAACACAAAAGGAATGTTATTTCACAAATATCTTAAATAAAATGCAATTAACCTCAGACAGAACCGAGCCTCTGGAGACTGTGTACATTTATATGAAAATGTGGTATGCAATTGAAAAGGCTGTGGGTTGATCACTAATGTTTCCTCTTTGTTTCCAGAGAGAGGAGGCCATTAATTCCCTGTAAAAATCTACAGTAAAGTGTATTAGCAGCAAACATAACGAAAAAAAAAGAGTCACAACAATTCTCACACTAGTGTTGGGACATCTTCCTGTTGTAAATTCCAGATTCTGTTCCATATTCCCCTAAATACACTAAGAATGTGTATTTAGGAAGTGTTACTATTTAGAAGGTATTATGGTATCTCGGTAAGAACAGTTTTTGAGATGAAACCCAAGTGCCTGATGAGGGACACGTCTGTTCTCAGTCAACAGGAAGTACAGGATGCATTTATTCCAGTTAAGATGTTGATATTATGCATGTCTGTTAATGACCAGGGTGAGGTAAAATACAAACTTCAGTGGATGAACATGTCTGGCCATGAAATGGATAACCTGAAGGTGCAGTTTCTGGTCAGCTAAAGCTGACCTAAGGCAGAGCTGCAGAGGCCCACCTTCTGCAGCCCGACATTTCAGCGCCCCTCCCACACAGGTACCAGCTAGTTCCGTACAACGACGCCAATTTTGACCTAGCCAAAACAAATTTTTTAAAGGGTTTGCCTTCAGCTGACTCAGCTCTGAATTGCTTAGGACTGCACGACCACCAGAGCTAGTACCAAACTGGGACCGTAACAGCAGTGATTCACATCAGCTTGTGCTGTTGTGGAACTTCAGACAGGGGGTAAGTAACCCTCATACAGACCAACGATTGCTTACTAAGCAGTTCTGTGGAGGAAAAGACACTTGCTTTAACAAAGCAGTATTTGCATTTTCAAGGAGATGTGGCAGTTCTCTGACTTACAGAATTGTAAAAACAATCTTCTGACAAATTAGAAGTAAATCAGTTTGAGAAGCGAGAGAAGGAGATCCAATCTCTCTGCTTTCCCTGACAGATGCCAGAAAGCAGGTGACATATAGGAGCTGGCATGTTCTGTCAGAAAATGGGTCTGTGATGAATGCTACCAACAACATGATGAATTTAAAACCAGGGTTCTAGGTTACCTTAACAGGTATCCAGCTCCTCTACCTCTCTGCACAGTACCTGAAGGACATGACTGCATGCAAATCACAACTGCTGGTTTACAAACCAGCAGTAGAAAAAGTGTCAGGATAGCTCTCTGATGTGAAAAAAAAAATAGCAGGGAACATGCTTGAACGCTGAGAGTCCTGAGGGAGCTTGTCATGGGACACTGCAAATGCTCAGAACTGCAAATACTATACAAAAAGATCTGTATGATTCAGCTCAGTTTCAAACAGAGGATTTTTCAGTGTGCAAGACGAATGTGACAAAAACATGATCTTTCATCTGAGATTAATGTGGCATTTCCATGCTTTTTTTGGGAGAAGAGTTTGCATTAAAGTGGTAAGTGCAATAAATGAACAAAAATACCATACAAACACTTACAAATAATAACTTAGAACACTTTTCCTGTAACATACACCATTTTTCTTGCTTTATTTGTAACTTGGGATAGGTTTTATAAAAATATCTGTACAAAATTCAGTTTTGTCCTATTACTGCCTGTAAGAATTTTTAGTTATGATTAATTTTTGTTTAGAAAATTCATGATTTCCGTAAGCAAACTATTCTAGTGACATGAAATCCTGGCAGAAGCAGCAAATCTAAGAGTGTGAAAGAGCCACACAATATCCCACTGGTTGTTTCCTAATTCTTCCAATCAATATCTTAATATATGTTGCTACAACAGATCTTTTGCATTCTATTCTAGTTAGTGTGAGGAAGTATTAGGGCTATGTGTGTCTGGCAAACAGTAAACATACCATTTGGCCCTGCTAGCTCCATTTGTTGGGTAGAGACATTGTGCGACACTGTTGCAAGATCAGCCATGCCCATTTTGAAGGTACTTTGGAAGTTCTGCTTAATTGCTTTGAAGTACAGAATTTATGAATTTTAGTGTAGATGAAAAGCTTGAGCAAAAAAAAAGATTAAAAAAAGACAACCTGAAATTTCAAGAGGGAAAAACAAATTTTAATTCAAATCACATTGAGAGGCTACAGAAATCGCCTGTAAAGATGGAAGTAATGGACCTAATTCATCAATTGATGTTAACAGATTTACTGCAGGAATGATTTTGACAAAATGCAGTTACTGAATTTTCTTTAGTTATAGGCCTCACACATTAATCCCATAATTGTACTGCTGAGTTCTCCTAGTCAGCAACAGTGGTTAAGAAAAAAAAAAGCAGCTTCAGCTTGTGCATTCTTCATCATTTCTGTTGAATGCAGAGCCATTTTCTTGGTACTCGATATGAATATTTTTCCTCAAAAGTGTCTTTATAGGGGATATGCCATGTATCCCCTGTAGTCTGTACCACACAGTCATAACAGAGAGCAGGCTGATGGATAAAGACAGATAAAAACATTTTTTTAGACTTTACACGATATATTACTAAAATACCAGTTATAGGGAGTTGTAACTTCCAACACTTACCTTAGAAATTTCCACAGATTCATCTCTATAACAACTCTCATTTATTTCCTTACACCAAACAACTTCTAAATTTTAGTACTGGAGGAAAAATTAAACCATCTTTTAGTATTTTGTGGTCTAGGAGTCATTATAAATGGTTAAAATTCTGTCTTCAATCTCCACCAGATAATAATGATTTGAACATAATGCATTCAATTTCTAGAAATAGCAAAATGATTGTTTTTCTGTTCAGTTAAATGAAATCATATGGGAATTAACTCAGGATGTGGAGTTTATAGGCTTGAACTGACACTAATGACATCTTGTGTTTGTTCTTCCAGTATACCTCTTCACAGAACTGACTTGCTCTGTTACTCAGGTAACCCTACATTCAGTACTTGGTTCCGTAAAAAGAAATGTATATATAGCAACACTGAATGAAAGGCTGTCGTTCTTATAAGCCTGTATCTCTACGGTCTGTTTGTAATGATGAATATTATTTTACAATTTTAACCAAAGCAGCAAGAAAATGAATCTGCATAGATGCAGTATTCCTTTAAGTAGGCAATAACAATGCCAGACAGACCAGATAACAAAAAACTGCAGGATATGGAATGTCACATAATGAATTTTTCCCTAGAAAAATCTTAAAACAGCTGCACTCCTGTTATACTGTTCATGGCTCACAAGGATACATGTCTCCTAGACAATAACAGTAGTATTCTGCTATAAGATGATACTATGCTTGGAAGACTGTAATTTCTGCAGCTGAATACTGACTATAAACCTGACTGTTCTGGGCTTTCCTTCATGAAACTTTACACATATGTTAGCCTAATATTACAGTGAATAATGAAATACCTGTATTTTCCCGCTTCTTTATAATAAAGATGAAAGAAATTCTATTGTACAATTAGAAGCATGATATTTCATAATAGTGCTACAGAGGAGAATAAGGTATTTCGAAGTTTAAAATAAATGAAAAAATATTGGCACTTACGTTTTACAGCAATGGAAAGATTTGTATACACGAACATGCATTTACATTTACATTTTAAAGATTTAGGCAGAATTTCTTGTCTTTTTGACAGTTTTCATCTTTGTGGCATGCTTTGTGAATATAGTGAATTTTCAGTAAGCATGCGAGTTTTGAGCCCATTGGTACAAATCAATTTCTTAGACTCCAACAAGAATCCTTTTGCTTCCAGAGTTTGAAATTGTTTATCTTTAATGAATATGCTCTGTGTGCTTTCTGATTGCAGCAGAAAACTTACCAAAAATTTTATATGCTTTCCTTCTACAGAAGGGGAAAACACTATTTGGTGTCCACGCTGCCACTTACGGAACAGATGACGCGTCAGACTGTCGGAAAGACAAGCCTTGTGATCCCGGAGGAAGTCTCTAGTAACAAACTTGCAATGCTTGCCTGATCGAAGAGTGGCATATAACAAGAAGGCATCATCTTCAGATCTTAACAAAACAAATGGAAAAGACAGACGTCATTCACAAGGCAGTAAGTGGTTGCAGGAAATGAATCAAATGCTGATCTGAGATCTATTCATCAGCAACACTGAAAATTCCCATCACTACTCTAGTTCTCTGGTAAAATAAAGAACTTTGGCTTACCACAGGGCACCAAAAGTTAGAGTGCAATAAAAATTAATTGCATGCTACACAGAGCATTCTTCCCTCCTATCACAATCTGATAATGCAAAAATATAATCGTTTGCCACATAATTTAACAGTGCTATGTGGAACAGAACTGCTAAAACTCATAAGGGTACCTCCAAAACTTTGTTGGAATACAAACAATCATCACAACTGATAATAAAGTGTAATGTAGACAACAGCACAAATCTGTGAATCTTTGCCTTTACATGGGTAAATATACTTCCAAAAGGTACTATGATTATTTGGACAATATATTCAACATTAGCTACTATTAAACTGAAACAATTTTAGGGAAAAATCTCTAAAAATACATTTATAGTGGGCATGAGATACCCTATACCTGGAGAAGCTGAGCAGAACTTTGCTTGAAACCACTTTTTGATTGCTATGGATTACTGTAATAGTAAGTGACATGAGATTAGCGAGGACGCTCACAAGTCTATGGGGCCGGAT